TTTCCACAAGTCGGAAGTCGTTGCTTTCTGGTTGGCAAACATGATGTAATGTTTGAGGACGCCGTGGATAAGTCACGGAAACTGTCAATGGAGTTTTCCGGTAGTCGGGAGAACCAATTCAAGGCAGCCCGTTCGAGACTTTCCACAAATCTCTGGCAGAAGCCGGCGTCTCTCTCGGCGTCAGTAAAGTTGGCTCGGCCCATCGCGATGTTGAACGCCGTCATATGCTCTGTTGGGTCATCGCTGCCACCAAATGTTGGTAACCGTATTTTTTCCATAATACGCAGCCGGACATCAGTGATATGGCGGGTAAATGGAGTTCGTAACGTGGTGGCGAGGACCATGTCGATTTGCGTCACGGCGCTCGTGGCATGATGGATCTTCGAGTGGATTTCTTGGAGCGAGAACTTTAGTTCGGCGATTTTTCGAATGGTTTGCAGATCTGGGTTGCTACCCGGTTGGCCAGAATCGTCTGGGAGGCCGGTTGGCACGATGGGCTGGTTAGCCAGAGTAGGGGTAGGGTTCGTGTTAAAAAGAAGTCGTCGTGCCGTCGAAAGGTTTCCTGCAGCGCCGTCAGGGTTTGCGAGTACGGCGGTGATAGCAGCGAGGTGCTCATATGTCGGAAGGAGCTTCTTCGGGTATCATGCCTATGTCACACTACTTCGTTCTGCCCCACGGTGGGCGCCAACAGTTTGAACAGAGTTTGGTCGTGTATCAGTAAGAGAGTGACTGGACTCTTTGGTGGGTTATTACGAAGGTGAGAACAAGTAAACGTGAAAAGAAAGAGTTTTATTTACAGTCGGAGAGAGTAATTCTGGTGCTCAGAGAGCTTAACCGGAGACGTACGGACTAATCGGTAAGCAACAAAGAGATAAGAGGAAAACCCTAGTGTAAGTTGCTGCCTAATCCGTCTATTTTTCGGATCCCTTTCTCGTTGTGCCTCATTTTCCTTTTATAGCAGCTCCCCCTTTTGACCTAGTGCAGTGCGCTTTCACAGGCTTTTCGTGATGGGCCTTTGCTCGGCCCGTGAAAGCAAGACTTGTTGGTCGTCTCTCTCTCAGGTTGGCTCGTATTCGGCTAAAGTAGCCTCACGCCGAGCTGACTCGTTAGTCGTTAGCCGGGCCATCGAGCTATTTCCTAATGGCCGAATATGCTTTCTCATGGGCCTTGATAGAGGGGTGCAATCCACCTCCCACAGGGAAGACCCCTCTTTAGTTAAACGAGTGTCAAACTCTTTTTTTTGGAATGTTCGAAGCGTAAATTACCCGGAAAAGTACATATCATTTGTCTTTTGGATTGACTTAAACAAGCCTCTTTTTTGTGTTATTCTCGAATCACATAATAAAGAGCTCTATTATTTCTTTTATTTGTTCCAATTGGTGTCACTTATTTAACCACTTATCTGATCCTGATAGCGCATAATACTAATTTGGAGAGGTTCCCTCAAAGTTCAAATCTTTCATTGAATCCACCAGTGCATAACCTGTAAGATATACTTCCCAACCCAGCCTCTATGTATTATATTTCTGTATATGGTTCGAACTTTAGTGCACAGAGCACAGACCTTTAGGCAGAACTCATTTGACTTCACGCTACTCTGGCTCTGAATAATGTTGGTTGGGTTATTGGAGGATACCTTAACCAGATCATCTAAGCTTCATAGCCTTCTGCCCTAACTTTCACTGCTCCTGTGATAACCAAATGTACCTGATGCGAGACTGTATGACTCAGATGGGGCTTTTTGACCTTCGGTTAATTGGAACCAATCATACTTGGAGCAACAGTCAACCCTCACAACCTATCACCAAGAAACTGGACAGACTGACGTTGAATTATATATATATATATATATAATTTTTCTCTCATGCCTTAGCCTCTTTCCTTCCACCACTATTATCTGATCACTCACCATGTATCTTAGACCTAGCCTTTAAATTCCCTACTGCTGGCTCCAAAGCTTTTAAGTTCCTAAACTACCTGACCAAACACCCTAACTTTGCTCAGCTAATACGTGACATATGGCTTCATGCCGAAAATACATGCCAAACGCTCACTCAGCTGTGTTGATAACTAGAAACAATCAAGAGTGACCTAAAACTCTTGAATAAAATAACTATTCTAAAATTTAAGAGAGAGTGAATGAAACTAACCATTTACTTCAAATTGTCCAGGTACAAGCTTTGCAAACCACTTTCCAAGCCAAAAGAGAATTCCATCAAAAGTGAAACTTCCTGCGAGTGATAGAGGAAATGTACTTCAGACAATCGAGGATAAATTGGTTTAGGGAGGGAGATCTAAACACCACTTACTTCCACAGTATTTTTCAAACTCGAGCAAGTTACAATGCAATCAGAGCTTTCCTAGCTGCTGATGGTCATTGGATCATGGAACCTCAGGAGATGAGTGAGCATGTTGTGAGTCATCTTCAGTCTGTCCTTGGCCCTCTATATTACACTCCACCGGCGATCTTCACACTACCAAATCGGTTTGTTGTGCTAACTGGTTTCTCAGTATCTCAAGAACGTAATCAGAAAATGCTTTCTCGCCCAACTACAGATGAGATCAAGTCTTGTTTCTTCTAACTAAATGCTAATAAGGCTCCAGGTCCGTGCGGACTAACATCTGCTTTCTTCAAAGCTTCATGTCCATAAAAAATACTTCTTCGCTTCTGTTTTCCTTCCTTCCAAAAACAAATGCAACAATTCTCGCTTTAGTTTCGAATTTCTCCGGAGCAACAAAAATCACATATTTCAGATCAATCTCCAATTTGAACACAATATACAAAGTAATCTCAAGACTACTAGTAAAGTTGTTGAACTCAATTCTACCTAAGCTGATTTTACCAAGTCAAACTGATTTTGTAGAGGGAAGGTTACTAGTGGAGAATACTACTCTAGCAGGAGAGCTAGTCAATGACTATCACAAAAACAAAACTATCAAAAAAACAAAGGGCAGAAAGAATCAACATCAAAGTAAAAATAGCAAAAGTTTTGATATTCTTTCATAGGAGTTTCTTTTCTCTTGTCTCCAGGGGGGCTTCAGATGCCCACTTGATTCATCAGGTCGCTCAAAGCATGCATATGCACTCCAACCTACATGGTAGGATACAATGGATCATTTCATGGATATTTCAAGGGGAGATGAGGCTTCAGACAGGAAGACCCTATGTCCCCTACAGATGAGATCAAGTCTTGTTTCTTCAAATTAAATGCTAATAAGGCTCCAGGTCCTTACGGACTAACATCTGCTTTCTTAAAAGCTTCATGTCCATAAAAAATACTTCTTCGCTTCTGTTTTCTTTCCTTCCAAAAACAAATGCTACAATTCTCGCTTTAGTTTCGAATTTCCCCGGAGCAACAAAAATAACATATATCAGACCAATCTCCTATTTGAACACAATATACCAAGTACTCTCAAGACAACTAGTAAAGTGGTTGAACTCAATTCTACCTAAGCTGATTTTACCAAGTCAAACTGATTTTGTAGAGGGAAGGTTACTAGTGCAGAATTTTACTCTAGCAGGAGAGCTAGTCCATGACTATCACAAAAACAAAGGGCAGAAAGAATCACCATCAAGGTAGAAATAGCAAAAGTTTTGATACTCTTTTATAGAAGTTTCTTTTCTCTTGTCTCCAGGGAGGCTTCAGATGCCCACTTGATTCATCAGGTCGCTCAAAGCATGCATATGCACTCCAACCTACATGGTAGGATACAATGGATCATTTCATGGATATTTCAAGGGGAGATGAGGCTTCAGACAGGAAGACCCTATGTCCCCTACAGATGAGATCAAGTCTTGTTTCTTCAAATTAAATGCTAATAAGGCTCCAGGTCCTTACGGACTAACATCTGCTTTGCGTTTGGCCTCTCACCGGAAGAAATAGACTTAATCCAAGCTACTACTAGCATGCCCCTTTGCTCACTTCCATTCCTCTACTTATATGTTCCCCTCAACTCCAAGAAGCTGTATCTCCACAACTGCAAGCCACTTTTGCATCAGCTAAAGACGCGATTCTCCTCCTGGTCTGTCAAATATCTTTCCTTCTCCACGAGACTGCTACTTATCAAGACAATGATCTATGGTATCACTACTTTCTAGTGCTCTGATTTCCTACTCCCAAAATCATGTATATCGCTCATCAATTCCCAATGTAGCATTTTCCTGTGGAAATGGGAAACATTGAAGGTCATAATACTGCAAGAGTCTCCTGGGAAACTGGGTGTTAACTAAAATTAGAAGTATGTATTAATGCAATTCTAACTTTATATTTCTTTTCTAAGAAAACATATATCTAATTATAAAATTATATATATATATATATATATATATATATATACAAACCTAACAGAATGACCCAAACTGAATGAAATTAAAAACAATAATTTAGTACTAACTTAATTAAAATAATTTTTTAAACTTTTTTAGAAAATATATGGAGCTCAACACCATACATGAACCTATCCAAATTATTATACATGAAATTACATTTAATTAAGATGAGAACATAATGATATTAATTAGATATTATTTTCATAGTATAATTTAAAATGACTTAGAACTTTTAAATAAATGTATAAATATTTCTATCTTTGCATGAGAACATAATTACAACTAATATTATTTTTGTCATAAATATAAATTTTTAAATTACTTAAAAATTATAAACAGTGGAAGTGAATATTTAACAATTATTATAATTTTATTATTCTGTAAATATTTATTCCCGTCCTATATCTTTCACTTTTTAATGAAAATTGGTATAGTTAAGTTAACTTAACTATAGTTGTCTCTTTATCTTTCGATTCTGTAAAAAAAAAAGAACTATAGTTAAGTTAGCTTCCCAAGGCTTCCCAAGGCTTGTCCAGGCTCCAGCTATATATATTCTTCATATCCCCTTCTCAAGTATCTCACACCAAAACATAAAACTCCCATCATCTTCTTTACTTTCAAATCTTACTAAACACACCGCCCAACTCTCATTTCCACCATCTAAACCCAAATGGGTCAAAGCTCGAGCTTAACCACAGCCATGGTGGCTGTTCTTCTGGTAATGATGTTGGGATCAGCCTACTCAGGAAACTTCTTCAATGAGTTCGACCTCACGTGGGGTGACCACAGGGGAAAAATCTTCAACGGAGGAAACATGTTGTCTCTCTCTCTGGACAGGGTATCCGGCTCAGGTTTCAAATCCAAGAAAGAGTATTTGTTTGGACGGATCGATATGCAGCTCAAACTCGTCGCCGGAAACTCAGCCGGCACCGTCACTGCTTACTACGTACGTTCTCATAACTCACTTTGTTGCAAAAAAAATTGAATATACTCTTTTCTAAATGTTGTCTAAAAATTTGCAGTTGTCGTCGCAAGGAGCAACACATGATGAGATAGATTTCGAGTTTCTAGGGAACGAGACAGGTAAGCCTTATGTTCTTCACACCAATGTCTTTGCTCAAGGGAAAGGCAACAGAGAACAACAGTTTTATCTCTGGTTCGACCCAACCAAGAACTTCCACACTTACTCTATTGTCTGGAGACCACAACACATCATGTACACATTTCATCAATCTCTCTTCTTACACTTGTTTCTAAAAAAATACGAAAGATCTTGACTCTCTAATTCTCTCTCTGTGCAGATTCTTGGTGGACAATTTGCCTATTAGAGTGTTCAACAACGCAGAGAAGCTTAGTGTTCCTTTCCCAAAGAACCAACCAATGAGGATCTACTCGAGTCTGTGGAATGCAGATGATTGGGCCACGAGAGGTGGTCTCGTAAAGACTGACTGGTCCAAGGCTCCTTTCACAGCTTATTACAGAGGATTCAACGCTGCGGCTTGCACCGTCTCTTCAGGCTTTGACCCAAAATTCAAGACTTCTTTAAGTGACAGTGAATTGCAAACAGAAAATGAGCTCAATGCATATGGCAGGAGGAGACTCAGATGGGTGCAGAAATACTTCATGATCTATAACTATTGCTCTGATCTCAAAAGGTTCCCTAGAGGATTCCCTCCTGAGTGCAAGATGTCAAGAATCTAATAAAAAAACACTAAACATCCCATACGATTATGTGTCTGCTTGTTGAGATTCCTCTCTTTGAGTTATAAGATTTGTTTATTCTCTGTTATTCTTCCTTGTGAAATAACTTGTAATAGAAGGAATAGAATTTGTTATTGATCTCGTTAGGCCAAGGCCTGTATATATACATCATACGAATCCTTTATTGATAAGGATAAGACCTAGTTACATCATTATCTTAAGTCTAAGTAGGAGTTATCCTAAGATATATAGTAGTTATCTCATTACTCCCCCTCAAGTTGGAAGTGTGAGATTCCGAATACCCAACTTGGACAAGAGATCTTCAAATAACGGTCTAGGCAATGCTTTAGTAAGGATGTCAGCAAGCTGGTTCTTAGAAGAGACATGTGTAGTAGAAATGAGCTTAGACTTCAGTGCATCACGAACATGGTGACAATCTCTTTCTATATGTTTGGTGCGAGCATGAAACACCGGATTAGTGGCGATGTATATTGCAGACTTGCTATCACAAAGTAGCTCCATTGGTGTTGGATGCGGAACACCAAAAGATTCAAGTAGACCTTTTACCCATTTGAGTTCTTTGACAGTTTCAGACATGGCACGATACTCCGCCTCAGCCGAAGAAAGGGAGACACAATCTTGCTTCTTCGTGCTCCAAAGAACCGGAGAATCACCAAGGAAGATGATAAATGCACTTAACGACCGGCGAGAAAGAGGACATGAGCCCCAGTCTGAATCACAATACGCCCGTATCCGAAGAGAGTCATTTGCTTTCAAAAATATGCCTTGGCCAGGGCATCCTTTAAGATATTTAACAACTCGTATAGCAGCATCCCAGTGTGGGAGTAAAGGTTTCTGCATAAACTGAGCAAGTATATGAACAATGTATCCAAGTTCTGGTCTTGTGTTAGTTAGATAAATCAAACGGCCGACAAGCCTTCGATACTGATGTGCATTAGCAAGCGGACCCTCGGCTTTTGCTAGTTGATGATTAAGTTCAACTGGTACTGGAGATGGTTTGGCGCCGAGAAGGCCTGCTTCTGCTATTATGTCAAGCGCATATTTCCTCTGGGACATGTAGATACCGGAGTCATTACGTGCAACTTCAAACCCCAGAAAGTATTTTAAAGTACCAAGGTCTTTCATTCGAAAGCAGCGATGTAAATAATCTTTGAACTCTTGTAGAGCCGTAGTATTGTTGCAGGCGATTATAAAGTCGTCAACATAGATCAATATATGAATACAGACAGAACCACGGACCTTGGAGAAGAGAGAGTGATCCGCGTAGTCATGAGAAAAACCACACGCAGTAAGAGCTTTCGTGAGCTTCGCATACCAACATCGCGGAGCTTGGCGAAGACCATACAAAGATTTCTTTAGGCGACAAACTTTAGTAGGATCTGAGCAGCGATACCCTTGGGGAAGTTTCATATAGATTTCTTCTTCAAGATCACCGTGCAAGAAAGCATTATGAACATCCATTTGATGAACATACCAGTTAAGTGTTGCTGCTAATTTCAGAATAAAACGCACAGAGGCAAGCTTTGCTACTGGAGCAAAGGTTTCATTGAAATCTTCTCCCTCTGTTTGATGATTTCCCATGACAACCAGACGGGCCTTAGGTCGTTCAAGCGTACCATCTGCATTATATTTGTTGGTGTAAATCCACTGATTACTCAGAGCCTTCTTCCCGGGAGGCAGAGTTGTTATATCCCATGTTTTTGTAGCTTCGAATGCATCAACTTCTTTTCCCATTGCGTCACGCCAGATCTCCAGTTTAACCGCCTCTTTGAAGGATCGAGGAGGATCATCCGCAATTATATTGGCCATAAAGATACGATGTTTCTCTGAAAATATTTGGTCAGAAACATAACTAGATATGGGATAAGGAGTTGTACCTGAGGACGTTCGACGAGGACCTAGATCAGGCGGGATGAGATCATGAGAGGGGTCATTACTTATAGAAGCCTGAGCTGAGTGTGTGACGTAGTCTTTAAGCAATATTGATGGAGTTTTCTGTCGATGTCCTCTTCCTAAGATTTCTGGAATTCCTGGCGAAGGTGGTTCTGCAGGTTGAGAAGCAGGAACATACGAAGGTGAAGGAGATGGAACAGTGGTTATAGGAGAATCAGATGGTACAGGTAATTCGGAGGGTGTGGTCATAGATGTATCAGTGACAGGGGTAGGTCCTAGAGTTGATGGTATAGTAGGGTTTGTAGGTGAAGTAGGTGTGGGGGAATCGGCAGTTGGTATAGGTGGGTGTTTAGGCGAGGGATCTACCGCTGGTGTATGTGGTTGGGGAAGTGAAGGTTGTGAACTCCCCCTTGATGGTAGGGTCGGTTGTAGCCAGTCGTCAACGAAGATGTCATAGGTGTTAGAAGGTGGAGGAACGTACTCATCAGTGTCAACTCCTGGAAACTTCGATTCAGAGAATGCAACATCTCGACTTGTAAAGAATTCTTTTGTCTCTAAATCATAGAGAGACCACGCTTTCTTGCCATACGGGTAACCTACAAATATGCATCGTCGACTGCGATCTCCAAATTTATCTTTATCGCGTGCTCTACGGTGAGCATAACATAAGCAGCCAAATACTCTTAATTGATCAAAGTCTGGTTTCTTTCCGAACAAGATTTCATACGGTGTTTTGCCATGAAGAAGTTGAGATGGGGTATGGTTGATGAGATGCGCCGCGGTGAGTATACTTTCTCCCCAAAACGTAGATGGTAAGCGGGCCTGAAACAGACATGCCCCAGCTACGTTAAGGAGATGACGGTGTTTTCGTTCCACCCTGCCATTCTGTTGTGGCGTGTCGACGCATGAAGTTTGGTGAATGATACCGTGTTGTTTAAAGTAACTGGAGAGAACCATAAATTCGGAACCATTGTCTGTCCGAATCTGTTTGACTGATCGATCAAACTGCTTCTCACAAAGTGCAAAGAAATTCTTAAGTAACCCCGACACCTCTGATTTTTCTAGCATCAAATAGGTCCAGACAGCACGGGAATAGTCGTCGACAATAGTAAGAAAATATCTGGCTCCGCATGAAGAAGGGTTTCGATAAGGCCCCCATACGTCACAATGAATTAAAACAAAAGGTGCCGAAGCTTTATTGAAACTATCAGGAAAACTAGAACGAGTTTGCTTAGCCTTAAAACAAATTTCACAGGCGTTTGCTTGTTCAGAATCAAAAACCAGATTTTCTAAAATAGGTAAAGAAGATAACACTCGAAAAGATGGGTGCCCAAGCCTCCTATGCCATAGTTCTGATGTAGAAGCATTCTTATACTCAGTCCGATGAACACGTGCAGCTTTAACTCCCGTAAAGTAATAGACCCCCTCACGTTCCTCACCCGTTCCAATCAGGGTCTTCGTAAAACGGTCCTGCAAGACACAAAGTGTATCAGTAAAGATAGCTATACATCCTGTCTGCTTTAGTAAACGAGAGACAGAAATCAAGGTGCAGTTAAACTCGGGAACAAATAAGACATCGCGCAAGAAATAATCCCGACTAAGCACCAGTGTGCCTTTCTTAGTAGCACTAGACGCACGACCATCAGGAAATTTGACTGATGATGGCATAATGTCAGTAACATCGCTCAAAAGAGCTAAGTTCCCTGTCATATGGTGAGAAGCGCCTGTATCGATAATGACATCATGAAACTTTGGTTTACCCGACAATCTTTCAGTAGCAATGTTAGAGGATCGGGATGTTTGAAGAAGCTGGAGGAGCTGAGTTATCTGATCGTTACTGAGAGAGGATTGTGTTGGTGCAGCAGTGGTATTGTTGGACACAACTCTGTTTGAGTTAGATCGACCTCGCCCTCTATTTGTCGAACTGGAAGTACGACCACCACGGCCACCACCACGTTGACTAGATCCTCCATTGTTCGGCTTTTGAAGCTCATACCACCAGTCTGGGTAACCATGAAGAAGAAAACATTCAGTATTATCATGTCCTTTGCGAGAGCAATGAGAACACATCCGGTTTGGATCACGGAATTTTGTAATAGTAGTCTGAGATTGTTGAGATTGATGCTGATGTTGAGAATCATTGTTAGATGGCGTAGTCTGAACAGAGAATCCTATAGCCTCTGTTTTAAGATCTGTAGACCGAGTGGTATTGGTATGTTGCTCCTCACGAATAACTCTTGAGTAAACGTTGTTGATGTCAGGTAAGGGGTCTTCATCAATGATCTGTGATCGGATGGTGCGGAAGCGGGATTCATCAAGGCCAAAGAGAAATTTATGAACACGAATCTCTTCTCTTTCTTTCTCAATATCAGACGCAGCCTCACATAAACATGCTCGAGTGGTTTTGAGATTGTCGAGTTCCTCCCAAAGCTTAGTGAGACGCCCATAGTAGTCAAGCACGGTCTGGCCATTCTGTTTGCAATTGTTGATAGCATCCCGGATTTGATGCGTTCTGACTCCATTCGTAACAGAGAATCGTCGCTTGAGATTTTCCCAAAGTTTATGAGCTTCAGGAACAAAGGAGACTGTAGATCTTATTTTGGGATCGATAGCCGTACGTATCCATCCTACCAGCATCGAATTAGTAGCTAGCCACCGAGAAAGATCAGGTTCTGTAGTTGGTTTTTCAAGAGTTCCATTGAGAAACCCTAATTTCTGCTTTGCTTGTATAGAGTTAGATAGCTCGGTTGCCCATTCGGTATAGTTGTCACCATTGAGTAGAACAGATGTAATAAGCGCTCCTGGATTGTCTGATGGATGTAAGTAGTATGGAGACGCATTAGTAAGAGGTAACGGAGTTGTAGCCGGAGTATTCTCCGCCATGTTTCTTATAGGTCAAGAAACAGAGAAGAGAAAAAAAAAAATTTCAGATCTTTTGCTCTGATACCATGAAATAACTTGTAATAGAAGGAATAGAATTTGTTATTGATCTCGTTAGGCCAAGGCCTGTATATATACATCATACGAATCCTTTATTGATAAGGATAAGACCTAGTTACATCATTATCTTAAGTCTAAGTAGGAGT